CTCCTTCCTGTCCCCGAGTCACTGGACGTGTCCAGCAGCATCCAGGCTGCTCCTCTCACCAGCTGGGAGGCCTGACTCACTCCTTCCTGTCCCCGAGTCACTGGACGTGTCCAGCAGCATCCAGGCTGCCCCTCTCACCAGCTGGGAGGCCTGGCTCCACAGTGAGGCTGGGAGATGCTGACTCGGCTTCCACCACCCTGTTCCCGGAAGGGCCTCTTGAAAGGGTGGGGTCCTGACTGGCCTGCGTGCAGCCCGCCAAACCCTGCAGCCAAGAGCCTCTGGCCAGCCAGGGAGGCCACGGCCCCTCCTGGCAAGGCCTGGCCCGGGAGCCTCCTTCAGGTCACCCCCTCCTCCCCTGTCATCTGGGCCTCACTGTGGGCACTCTGCCCACCTGGCTGCACGGGTCCTCTCCCCCCGGTGTGCCCCACTCACGTGTCTTCCCCGTCTCTAGGCATTGGACCCCCTAAGCAGAGGCCTCAGGATGCCCACAGCACTTAGCCACGGGACGGGTGTGGGAGCTGAAGGCCGGGACGTGCCATGGCCTGGAGCATCGAGGACCTCCTGAGGCCCGCAGGAAGCACACCAGGCACACAGCCTGTGTCCCGTGTGTGTGTAGGAATGGGGCCTGGCTGCTGGGAGGAGGCCGGGAGTGGGAGGTGGCGAGGCTGGCCGATGTGGGGACTGGAGAGGCCAGCAGGACGCCGGAGTCTCCAACTCGAGCTGCTGGGTGCAGTGAGATCTAGAGCATGTGTAGGGGTGACAGGTCCATGAGGAGCCACAGGAGGGCTGCAGAGAGGTGTCCAGGATACACATGGTCATGTTGGTCTGACTCAGGGAGGAGCTGCAGAGTCCCTAGGCACATGGGGGTCGTGGGCACAGCATGGTCATCGGGGCCTCGGGAAGTCCACCCAGCAAGGGCCAGGCGGCGAGGAGGAAGACCAGCACTGGTCTTCGGGGCGTGCCTCCTGCTGGACCAGCCCACACCCCTCCCAAGGTGGGGACAGTGCCCCATGCTCCCACCTGCTGGCCCGCTCCTTGCTGCAAGACCCACAGTCCTAGCCCACTCAGGCCTCAGGGAAACCTCGCCTCTGCCGCAGTCTCCTGGCCTGCACGGCGAGGTGGCTGCACACGGCACTCCTGGGTTTCGCCTGCAGGGAGGCAGTGGGGCTCAGTGGTGAGGGCTCAGCGTAAGGTGAGCAGACTCGGGGTTGAGTCCCAGCTGTGCCCTGACGACCTGTTCACTTACCCAGGTCCTTATACCTGGAAGAGGGAGGCAGGAGAGGGAGTACCAGGGAGACGCAGGCACGAGAAAGACTAGGCCCACTGAATGGAGGAAGGGGCCAGGAGTCACGGAACTCAGGCCCGTCTAGAAGCTGGAAAAGGAAGAAAACAGTTTCTCCCCTTCCCCTGGACCCTCCAGAAGGAACCAGCCCCGCTGACACCTTGGTTTTAGCCCAGTGAGATCCATTTTGGATTTCTGACTTCCAGACTGTAAGATAAATTTGTTTTGTCATAAGCCACTAAGTTTCTGGTAATTTGTTACAGCAGTGACAGGAAATGAATGCAGATTTTGGTCCCAGAATTAGGGTGCTACTGTAACAGATACCTAAATGTAGAAGTCGCTTTGGGACTACACGGTGGCAGAAGCTGGAGGAGTTCTGAAGGGTGTGGTAGAAGCAGCCTCGATTTCCTTGAACAGGTTATTGGTAGAAGTCTGGATGTTAATGACTGTGCTACGGATGACACAGAAGTCAGTGAGGGGCACAGCAAAGGAAACCTAATTCACCCTCGAGAATACCTAAAATCGTCACCAACAGCCTGGTAGTGGAAATGTGAATGTTAAGGCGTTGGTGAGGGCTGAGGGAAATGAAGGTTGTGTCACTGACATTGAGGAAAGGAGATGCTTGTTATATGGTGATATACAGCAGCAAGACTAGCTGAATTCTGTTCACGGAAAGCAGGACTTGTAAGCAGTCAACTTGGATATTTAGCCAAGGAGATTTCCAAGCACAGTGTTGAAGGTGCAGCCTGGTTTCTTGCTGCGTATAGTAAAATGTGAGCGGAAAGAGGGAAATTGAGGGAGGGGCCGTTAAGGCAAAGGGAACCTGAGATTGATGATTTGGGGAATTCTCAGCCAAGCCAAATTACAAAAGACACTAAAATTAGGAGGTTCACTGTCAGGAAAATGCTCTAGAGAAAAGTGGAGGGTGCAGCTGGACAGCCTTTTGCTAACGCCTTAGAAAGGGGAACAAGGTCGGGGCGTTGAGTCACACAGAGGGCTCTGTGAAGAGATTAAGTGTGTGACTAATAGTCATCTCAGCAAAAGCCAGAAACAGAGAAAGTCTTTTCTTGGAAGGATCTGGAGGAACGTCTTGTCTTACGGAGTGAAGCTCCATGGCATACACAGGAGATCCACATTGTTCTTGAGAATTTTATACCATCAGAAACCCTGCTAGCTTGAACTGAAAGGGCCAGAGAGGACGAAGTGAAAGGCTGTTGGACCCCCAAAATACTGTGGGCGGGAAACAGACTGATGAAACCTCAGCTGCAGACACTTGCTACTGTTCTTTAAAAAGAAAGGATAACCCAGAGGGTGGAGAAGTGAATCCAGAGGATTGTTCCCAGGCCTTGATGGGCACCTCATGGAGTTTGTCCAGCTGGAGTTTGAAATTGCTTGGGACTGGGGATGCCTGCTGCCTCCTTCCGTTTTCTCTGTTTTTAGATGGAAATGTCTATAACTGGCATCATATGCCTGTTCTACCATTGTATTTTGGAAACATAACTTTTCTAGTTTTAAAGGTCCACATATGGAGAGGAATTTTGCACTAGGATCGCTCATATGCAAAGTCTCACTTGGTTCAGATGATTTAGGTGAGATTTGGTGTTTGACTTGGTACTATAATGGGTTGAGACTTTGGGGGACCTTGGGATGGGGTGTGTGTGTTTTACATGCAAGATGGATGTGAGACTTGCTAGAAGGCAGTCTGTCTGTAGTCGGCAGAATAATGCCCCCCTTCCCCGCATCCACATCCTAGTCCCTGAAACCTGTGAATATGTCACCTTATGTAGCAAAGGGGAATTAAAGTTGCAGATGGAATTAAGATTGCTAATGAGCTGAACTTGAGATGGAGAGATTATCTGGGCCTAGTATAATCACAAGATTCCTTAAAACTGGAAGAGGGAGGCAGAGGAGGGCGAAGCAGAGAGACGGCAGCATGAGGACTCGGCCTGATGTTCCTGACTTTGCAGACAGAAGAGGGGCCATGAGCCAGGGATTGCACGTGGCTCTAGAAGCTGGAAAAGGCAAGGCAAGGAAATGGATTCTCCCCCAGAGCCCCCAGAAGGAATGTGGCCCGGCCGACACCTTGATTATAGCCCAGTGAGACCCACTTCAGTGAGACCCAGTTCTTGACCTCCAGAACTTGAGATAAATTGGTGTTGTTTTAAGCCACTAAGCTTGTGGTAACTACAGCAGCAGTAGGAAACTAGCACATCTGTAGGATGCACCATGGAGCTCTCAGCGTCATTTTGAGGGCATAAGGAGATGACCCATCAAGGCACTTGGCTCAGGGCCTGACTCCAAGGACGCGTTCGACAGACAGCAGCATAGACTGCAATCCCTCCTGAGCCCCAAGGCTGGCACTTGGCTCCCAGGTTGGAGACGCCCCACCCTTGCCTCTGTCAGTCCCAGCTGCCCTCTCCTCCAGCAGCCATCACCCTCTTGAAGTTCACCACTGGTTCTCTCTCTTCTTGTCACTGGCTGTCCTCTCTTCTCCCTGCTAACCTGCACCTCTGGCTGAGTCACACCAAAAGAGACTTGGGTTGGTGGTGGGGAGTGGGGTGGATCTAGGAAAGGGAAAGTGTGAAGGGGGAGAAGTCAGTGAAGGGGGGGCACTGGACTTGGTTAGTCAACTTGGCCTGGGGTGAGGCAGGGGGAGTGGGCACTGGACTACAGGGAGGGGAGGGCAGGACTAGGAGGCAGAGCCATCAGCGAGGGCCAGGCCGCCTCCAGTGGTGAGCTCCCTGGCAAGGGAGGCACGTGAGCAGGGCTGCTGGATCATGCCTCCCTGAAGCTGGCCTGTAGGACTTGGAGGATCCACCCTCCTTCTCCAAGCTCTGAGGCCTCATGACACCAGGAATTGCTCCATCTCATAGGTTAGGAGCCTTGGGGCCCTCTGCTTCCACTATCAACTGAGAGCATGGGCAGAGTCTAGGGCAGGCTCTTGGCAGAGCAGAGCTGGGGCTGGGCTGCTGCTCCTCTGTCTCCTCCCTGCTGTGTGCCTCCATCTTGCCTGGGCCACCTGCTAGCACTCACACCTCTGGGGAGACCCGTGTTGGATGGTCTTCCACCAACCATCCAGGATTACTTAGGTGGGCGCACGCAGCTGATTTGTTCATCAGTACCCCAGCTCCCAGGCCAGGCAATGGCAGGCACCCAAAATGTGCCGTGGAGTTAGCTGCCTGAGGACTCAGAACTGGGCATGAGAGGTCGTCCCCTCCCCAGGTGCTGGACCCACCACCTCGTTGTTTTTTTACACACCCATTTAATTCCTACTTCACAGAAACAGACCATTTGGCTTAATGCTCAGTGTAAAGTGCTCAGAATAGTGTCTGGCACATAGTAAAGCCTTATGTATTGGTTTTTACTTCATATATTTATTTTATATTAGCGAACCTTAATACTAACAGTTTTTGGCTTAGCTTGCCTTGGTTTCTGTTACTTACAACCAAGAGCGGGCTTGGTGTCAGAAGTGGCGTTGCGGGATGTGGCCCTTCCTGCTGAAGGGGGTGTGGTGGGCAGACTGGAAAACTGGCAGATCTGTTGGGGATACTGTGCTACGTGGGGGGGGCTCCAATCATGTGCCTGTTAAGGCTGATGCTTTAGACTGCAAACGTTGAGAAGACCCATAGAGGAAGATGAAGGAGGGGTCTGTGTGTCAACTGCTCTTTCGGTAAAGCAGATGCAGAACCACAGGGTAAGAAAACTCCCGTGGCAGCAACCTGGGACCCCAAGAGCCAGATAGTCATGTGCCTTGCTGAACTGTAGCAACCAAATTCCCTCCTTCAATCCAGTTTTTAAGCTAAAGTTAACAGGACACTATGCAGCCCAGCGATTGCAATAGAGGCTGGTCCCCTCAGCCTCTCCAAAGTACCTTCTGGGTACCCACCTCCCTCAAAGGCAGGGTGATGTTCCAGGGCTGGGCAGAGGAGGAAGACCCCAGCTCCACGTCAGCAGACTCTTTCACGTCCCGCGTCCTGAGCAGAGCTGGAGACAGCTGCTGTTCCAGCAGAGTCCTCAAGCTCATAACTAAGCCAGAGAAGCACGTTGCGCTCGTGGCTCTCCCCTCCAGCAAGATGAGCAGGAGGTGACAGCAGGACCGGGGCAATGTCGGGGAACAGTTTTGAGGGTCATGCGGGCTGGGGGCAGCCAGTGGCATCTGGTGGGCAGAGACAGGGATGATGCTGACATTCTGCAACGCGCGGGGGGGCCACCAGAGCACCAAACATCAGTCGTGCTGCAGCCGCAGGACCCTGCTCTGGAAACGGACGGCTGGGTGCAGTCAGGCCTGCCACCGAGCTGAGTGTCCACTCTGCCTGAGCTCCTTCAGGGATGGGGGAGTGTGCATGTGTGCGAGGCCAGGGGAGGGCTCCGTGCGTGTGGTGGTCTCTGCTTGGACCCTGTCAAGGGCTGCTCCTTGCCTGTCCTCAAGGCTGTGTGGTGGACTCCTGCGCACGGCCCCGTGGTTCTCGGGGGGCTGGACCCGTCCTTCGCGCTGTAGTAGCAGAGGGGGCGGCTGGCCAGTGCACGGTCGTGGGGCCTACATCCCTGGCTGGTGAGCGTGGTGGGCAGGGCTGGGCCCGTCCCACTCTGAGAGAGGCCAGCCTGCAGTCTCCAGTAGCTGCCCAGCAGCCTTGGCCTGTCGCTTTCAGGGCCGTGCACACTGCCCCAGCCTTCTCTTCCCAAGAGAGGAGTGGAAAGAAGGTTCATCCTCCAGGAAGGAGCCCTGGTGCCAGGGTGGCCCCGTGAGGACTTGCAGCAGCAGCGCTGCAGCGGCCAGGCAGGGAGTGCTGCTCGCCGGGCGCCCCCGTCCCCCCGGAGCTCCATGTCAGCCTCCGGGCACTTCCTACCCCCAGCCCCCCCAGCTGGGGGCAGCCTGAGAGGACGGCCTCCGACCCCCACACAGGGCTCTGTCCTCTTCAGCTGGGGCAGAAGGCAGTGCTGTCCACACCTGGCAGAGCCCAGAAGAGTGCACGCTGGGGACAAGAGCCAGTCCCAGGTCGTCCCACATCCCCGCCCCGCCCGCCCACCCGCATGGAGACTGGCGTCGGGTATCTTTACTGAAGGAGTTTATTTTTCCGGAACTCAAGTTGCTCACAGTTATTGGACAGGGGATACACGGGGTGGGGCTTGTCCGTTTCCGTGACGTCTGCGTGTGTCCCAAGTACAAAAGAGGAAGGCGAACAAGAGGTATTGCTTTCGGTGTCCTGTCTCTGGAGAAGCCCCTCCCGCTTGTACTGCGTGGCTGTTACTGATATTGGTGTTTAATTTTCTCATGTATGGAAACCCCAGCCTTTGGCAGGGGTCAGTGTAACAAGCGTTAAAATCTACCCACGACGGAGGGGCGGCAGGGCGACACCAAAGCAAATGGACTCGTACAGCAGAGGCATGCATCCCGGCCCACCGGCCCCTCCGGGGGACCAGGGGCCTGTGCCAGCTGGGCGGGGCCGGGCCGCACCCACAGAAGGAAACGCGAGCAGAAGCTGGGACGGGACAAGCGAGGCGGCCACACCACAGCCTCACGTGTACAGAGAACACGCTGCAGAGCACGCTGCCCACTCTCTCTGTCCTTTGTTTTGCTTTTTTTTGACTTTTTGTCATTTTAGTAAAAAACTGCTGTGGTGCCCCTGCCGTCCTGTGTGTGGGGCCAGCTCTGGGCCTTTCTCCTACGCCTGCTCTCGGACACAGGACCGAGACGGCCCGTGGCCTGGGCCTGACGGCGGGGCCTCCGCGGGCCCGGCGCTGCTTCTCCACGGTCGCGGGATGGGACGCGCAGTCTGTAAATATATGTGTGTGTGTCTGTAGAAAGAACCAGAGCAAAGACCGGAACACGAAGCCTAGCCCTGCCCGGCGGCTCCCACACCCTTTTCCAAAAACAACCAAGAAAACAAAGTTTATAAAAATATCTTGCAGGAATTCTTTAAAGTTTACAGTAGTTGCCGGCGCTGCACCCACCGGCCTGCCCCCCGGCGCTCCGACAGCTCCGTCCTTGGCCCCTCAGCCCCAGACCCCACCCTGCCCGAGACACACACACAGACACACACACACACAGACAGACGGCAGGAGGATGCTGCTGCTGCCCCTTCCCTGAACAGAGAAGTAAAGAAAATAAGTTAAAACGGCAAATAAATAACACTGATGTCGGCCAGTCTCGGGGCGGGTGGGCAGGCGGGTGGCTCTGGTGCCTCTGGGGTCTCTTTCCACCTCAGCCAGGAGGGACGCCAGAGCCAAGAGCGCGCTGCAGCCCTGCAGGTCGTGGAGGACTGGGATGCGAACTAACGGCGGTGGCGCCGAGATGCCTGGACGAGGGGAGGGTGCGGCAGGGAGGAGGGTGCTGAAGAGAGGCTGCGGGCAGGCCGGCTGGGCCGTTACGGCTGCTTCGCCCACCGCAGGCTGCGCCCTGGAGGTGGCCTGAGCAGGCTAGACCCGCCAAGGTCACTGCGAGTCCCATCGGCTGGGCTGGAGACGGCTTCCCCTCGGAGCCAGGTCCTCCTCCCCATGGCCATGTGGAGCGGAAACCGGGCAGAGCCTCCCGCGGGCAGGTGGACCGAGGCAGCGGGTGGGTGGGCAGGCCTCGCCGCCTGGTGGGCAGCAGCAGAAGAAGAGGGCAGGTCCACAGCAGCTGCCTTCAGTCAGCTCGTGTCCAGCGTGGAGCACAGAGGATGGCCTCGTGGAGGTGACATGTTAACTTTTCGGGATAATTCCTGGTATCAGAGTGGAAACAGTGACGTTGTGAGAGAGAGGCAAAGAGACAGACAGCGAGAGAAGGAGAGAGCGGGCACGGGCAGGCCCAGCTGCACAGTGCCCCCTCTCCTTCCCTCCCTGGCTTCACAACAGTCTAGATGGACAGACGGGCGCGGCCCTGGTCCACGCAGGGCGGGTGGCGGGCAGGCGGGCGGCGAGGCGGCCTTGGTGGCCACTGTCAGGGCCGTGCTGGGGGAGGGGCTATGTGTCTAAGGCTGCTCGCGGCGGGCGGCGGGCGGCCCCATCTTGGCCGTGTCCTTGCCCGTTGGGTACTCGGCGTCCCCTCCAGGGCCAGGGCCAGCGGCCGCGGAGTCACCGAGTGGGCCGTGGGCACTCCGCTTGGCGGGCGTGCTGGGGGCCTGGGCCGCCTGCCCGTTCTTCTCGTCTGAAAAAAGTTGTTTAATTACGTCAAAGAAGTTACTCAATGGGCTGCCTGGGTACACAGAACAGAAAACAAAAGAAAAAAAAAAAGAAAAGGCAGAGAAAGAGAGGGAGGGAAGGAGAGAAAAAGAACAAACAAGGAAATGAACGGACGGGCCTTGACGAGAGAAGAAACCCACGAGCTGAGGTCTGAGATGGGCGGGGCAGGCGGGGGCACGCGGGCAGCAAGCAGGGTGGGCAGGCGGCCGTGGGTCCCTATGTGCCAGGGGCTGGCACGAGGGGCTGGTGCAGTGGGACCAGAAGCTGGGACCCCTAGGCCTCTGAGCTGGGGGCCGGACCCAGGGCAGGTGGGGAGACCCTCTCCCTCACAAGCCTGGCCCTAAAGGCCTGGCCATCCCCTCCACCTCAGCCACGGCCTCCTCTCCACAGCCCCGTGGCCTTGCCGGCTGGCCGGCCCCAGTCTGCAGACGGAGGCGTAAAGACCAGGGCTGGGCAGGACCTTGGGGCTGGCGGCTAGCTCCTCGCACAAGGGTGTGGAGCCTGCTCTACTGGGGAGGCTGGAGCCAGCGCGCCTGCCACACTCCCCGCAGGAGGCCTGGAGCCCCGCCCTTGGCAGCTGGGCCGGCACAGCGTGGACACAGGTCAGCAGCAGACAGACAGATGGATGGATGGGTGGACAGGCATGGAGAGCTTGGGTGTGGGAGGGCTGGGGGCAGGCAGCCAGAGTGGGGGCCCTGGTCCCAGAGGGAATGTCCTGAGGGAAGGAGGAAGGGAGCAGAAATGGGCTGCCCATCCCCCACTAGGGCCCTGTGCTCACTGTCCACGTGCACCGACAGGCACCTCAGCTCTGCCTCCTGAACCTGACCCCTACCTGGGCCCAGAGCACGGGGCCCTCCCCTCCCTGCCGGGTACAGCGGAAGGCAGTGCATGCGCATCCTGAGGAGCTCACAGCCTCAGCAGGAGCGGCCCCCGCGCCCCGCCAGTGGACAGAGGGCCTGATGCCAGCCTCCTGCCCAAGGACTGGAGTCCACCCCGACCCCATGCCAGAGCCGCACATGGGACCCTTGCTGGCCTCGGGGCATGGGGCCCCTTTCCTGCTTGGAGCCTTGGAGTCCCTCCCTGGCCTGTGCTGATCGGAGGGCCAGCCTGTGGCTGCCCCGGGGGTGAGTGACCAAGGCTGCTCTTGGCAGATGCAGGGGGCTGGGCGGTCAGGGCCTGTGTGGGGTGCGTGTGTGTGTTCAGCCCGCACGTACACAGGGACCCCAGGACAGCCTCAGGAGCGGCGGGTGGGGATGAGCGGTGGGGGTGACAGGCTGGGGGCCCAGGAGAGCGTGAGGGGTTCTTACCACATTTGGAAAGCCTCCCCGTCATCATTTCCATACAGTTAGTGGTGTCTGGAGCACAGAACGGAGAGAGGAGGGGGGAGACGTGTGAAAAAGGCTTCCCACTTGGACCTCGGGCTGGGTGCTGCCCGAAGCCTCTGGCCAGGCCCTGGGGGTGGGTGGGGCTCAGAGAGGGGGCGGGGCCTGGAGGGGACTAAGAGGGGGCAGGGCCTGGAGGAGTGGGGCTCATAGGAGGGTTGGGGTCTGGAGGAGCAGGGTCAAAGGAGGGTGGGGCCTGAGGCAGGCCGGGCTCAGACCAGGGGTGGAGCCTGAAGGGGCGGGGCTCAGAGGAGAAGGGGTGGAGCCTGGCGTGGGGGCTCAGAATGTGGGCATTGAGGGGGGGCCGTCTCCTAGGCAGTGAAGGGTCCTGCAGCAACCAGAGCCTGAGAACAGGACGTGGCCCTGCCCCTTGGGTGCCCTGGGGCCCAGGACACATGCCCTGGAGCTGAGAAGCCGAGGGCTCTGGCCGTGCTCTACGCTGGCCACCTAGGTGTCCTCACCCTGCGCTCAGGCTGCTGCGTGGCTCCCATTCGCTCCTCAACTCATGCTGGCACCCCTTCCCTGATGCTCTTCCACCCTCTGCTGGGTCTGAGTGCTGGCAGGGGCTGGGGGTGGGGGCTGCTCCCTCCAGGCCTCCCTGGGCCGGTGCAGGGTGGATGTGTCCTCTCGGCCTCCCCTCCCTGGGCCACCTGGTCTCTTGGCCTGGTGCCTGGGGGGCCCCCACTTCTGCCCCCCTCCTACAGCGGCTCTGGGACTGAGTTCACTGGACAAGAGCATCCAGTTTGGGAGGGACGGTGCTGGGAAAGGCTGGAGTACAGGGAGGCCCATCAGTGGGCTGGGGATGGTGCCAGGGGACGGCCTGGGAGCCCAGGTTGGGCTCCCCAGGTCCACGGCTCCCTGAAGAAGGGCAGGAGAGACAGGCTTGGGGCCCAGAGTGGGCACCCAAGAGTGTCCAGGGACATGGGTTCAGGCCCAGGGCTAAACTGGGCTCAGGGCCAGCAGGAGCCTCTGCTTTGGGGTGGGAGCAGAACTAGGGGTGGAGCCCTGAGGAAGGGCTCTGTCCACCTTGCTCGCTGCTATGCCTGGGACCCGCACAGGCGACACTTGCTGACAGACAGAATGACACCTCTTAGGTAGGACTCGGAGGCTGTATGCACAGCCTCCGCCCCTGGCCAGGGGCGGAGAGGGACCGTGGCCCCGGGTGGTGGCTGCAGGCAAGGTTACCTGGCCTTTGCTCGACTCTTGGGACGAGCTGTGTCCTTCCCCGGCCTCAGTTTCCCTCTGTCAGCACTGCCCTGCTCTGAGATGGAGGCCTTAAAGGCTCAGGGAGCCAGAGGCACCTGACCCTGCCTGCTCCCTGTCCCTGTGCCACCTGCTTCCAGAGCAGGAGAGGGGCCCCTGCGTGGGGTGAGGGCATGGTGTCGGGGGAGACAGACGATGGAATGAGGATGGCAGGGCAAGGGACCGAGGGCATGTGGCCTCTAGGACCCACACAGAAGCACAGAAGGGGACCCCAGCACGGTGGGCAAGGGCCCACTGAGGCCCCAGCTGGCCACGGGGCCCTCAGAGAGGCAGGGCTTAGGCTGGATGCGGTGCTCCCCAGATCCCAAACCCCAACACAGGCCTCACGGCGACCCTGTGCCTCAGTGCTGTCCAGACACGCCCCACACACCCTCGCTGGCAGATGGCAGCTCATGCACGGCCCGCCCCGCCCGACTAGGCTCACCCATACCCACACTCGTGCAGCTCACCCCCACCAGACACCAAGTGGCAGAGACCCCAGGCCCCCAGCGCCTCCAGGCCTGGGCAGCCCCTTCCCCTGTGTGGCCCCCCTAGGCCCAGCTGGGGAGCCCCTGCTTTGACTGGGGCCGTAGGGCCCCTCTGTCCTGCTCAAGGCCAGACAGTTGCAGGCCTGTCGTGGGGAGGGCGGGCAGCGGGCAGCCCCACCGCGTGTCAGCAGGGTGGGCACCAGATCCACAGCCCTCACGAGTGCTACGCAGAGAAGCCCCGAAGGGACAGGGCTCCCGGCAGGGCTCGGTCACTGCTCGCCCTGGAGCCTGCTCTCACTGGCCTGGGGCCAGGCTGCCCCTGTGTCCAGCAGCTCAGGCTGGGTGCCAGGCCTGTGCGGCCTGTCCAGGGCCAGGAGCTGGCCACTAGAGGTGTGAGTGGGCACGGGGCGCCCTTCTCTGGGCCAGCCTGGCTCTCGCCGGAGGACCTGCCCGCAGCCCCTCCCCGCCCCAGTGGTGGGGCCGGACACCTTACCTGCCAGCGTCAGAGGCTACTCTCGTAGCTGGTGGCCACCTTCTGGCCCTTAAGCCCAGCACCCCAGCTTAGTCCTGGCGCTGGCGGGGGGGGTTCTACAGTGGACAAGAGGCGCCTTTCAGTGTGGTGTGCTGGGCTCTACCTCCCTGGTATGCAGGCGCAGGCTGGCCGCTGCACCGCAGGGCCCTGCTCCCTGGGGGCACGGCACAGCTCGGGGGCGGGGAGGGGAGGGGCACGTTGGAGGGGCCGAGCGGGGCTCGCTGGGCGGCCTGTGCTGAGCCCCCGCCTCACCTGACAGGTGCTGGGTGGAGGGCTGGTCGTGTGTGCTCAGCAGCTGTGTCTGGATGGTCTCTACGACCCTCTTGAAGCGGCGGCTTGGGCCTGGGGGAGACAGGGTGTTACGCCCGGCAGGGCTGGCCCGGAGCACGTGCCCTCTGCCCCGCGGCTCACCTGACAGAAGCGTGAACGTGACGGAGTAGATGCCATTCTCCTTCTGCGCCGCCCCGCCCTCGGTGTACGTGATGTCCACCTGGAACTTGACCGGCTTCTGGAACACCGCCGGGCCCCCCGTCGCCTTGTACTCAGCCCGGAAGCTCGTCTGGGAGATGACGCTGTGGCTGAGGCTGGGGATCTGCGGGGTGGCAGGCAGTGTGAGCGTGGCCCTGGCCCCACCCCACACGTGTGCTGTGCACGAGCCTGGGAGCTGAGCCGGCCCCCCAGCCTCATCTGTGAAATGGGCGCAGCCAGATCGGGCCCATGGAGTAGGGAGCCGGCCTACCCCTCCAAGGCCCGGCCAGCAGGGCCTCTGTGTGGACTTCTCACACAGACTGAACCCAAGGCAGGGCTTCTGAGAGGAACGTTAAGCCTCAAGGGGAAGAGCTGAGAGAGGAGGTGAGGGTGGTTGCAGACCCCGGAGAGCAGCAGCGAGGATGAGGTCAAAACCTCCGCTGGTGCTGAGAAAGCGCCTGCTGAGGCTGAGGCCACATGGCCTCGCTCTGCTGGTTCTGGGGTCCACAGCTCTCGGTGCCTCGCCCAGGGGCCTCTGCATATTTGGGTTACACAGCAGCAAGGGGACGTGCCCAGGGGTCACCCCCAGGACAGGGCTCTGCCCCTCAGGAGAGCACAGCGCTGGCCTTGCCATTAGAAGGGCCGGCCCGCGTCAGGAGTCAGGAACGGGCGCTGGCTGGGTCCAGGGGAGGAATTGGTGTCCCAGGAGCAGTCAGAGGAGTCTAGGGGACGGGTAGTCGGAACGGATGGGGCTGCCCAGAGCCGGGCCCGAGGACGAGAGCAGGCTGCAGGAACAGGGTACCCATGTCCAGCGTGAGGCCGAGCGCCCTGCCTGGTGCTGCCTCCCCCGGCCCCTGGAGACCTCTGGTGGGAGCGCAGAGCTGTCCCTGCCGCTCTGAGGGAAGCTGGGCTGCAGCCAGGGCAGCAGGGGTGGCAGAGCGCCTGGCGGGGCCGAGGCTGCCCCGAGTTAGAGAAACCACCCCAACGGCTGGGCCCGAGCTCGGGCTGCGGGGACACTGGGATCCTTCTGAAACCCCTAAGCTGTGATCCTAGGGGACCAGCACAATGGTGGGCCCCACGCGCAGTGGGGCCCCCTGACGTGACTCTGGAAGAAAACCTTCAGGGCTTTCTGCTCATGCGCCCAAGATCCCAGCCAAAACAAGTGGAATGCACCCTGGGCCCGAGCGCAGCACACCCTTGGAGAGCCGGCGGGGCGCACGGGGCTGGCAGGAGGCTGGCAGCGCGTGGGGTGGGTGGAGGGCACACAGGACCAGAGACAGGCCCGGGCATGTCTGCCACACCCGGCAGAGCCTCTGCGTGAGGACTCACGTTCCCTCCCCACGAGCTGCTGCGAGGCCGCCTGCACTTCACCCCGGTCTCAGTGAGGTGCCACCCCCCAAGGCTGTCCCTGTCCTAGTGCCCCTTCCATCAGATCCCAGCCCTGGTCTCTGGGCGTGCGCGTGGCACGACTGCGGTTCTGTCGACGCCAGCTCCCCACGCCCCTCCGCAGTGACCCTGCGGCCCCAGCAGGGCAGGCAGGAGGCAGTGTCTGTCAAGCGAGGGACAGGTGGACCCTCGGTCTGGGGTGAGCGTCCCGAGTAGTGTGAGGCTCACCGACAGGAAGGCGTGGACGATGTCTGCTTTGATGGAGCTCAGCGGCTTGTCCTTGATGACCACGAAGATCTGCTCCTCCTTTTCCAGGTTGATGAAGTTCCCGAACCAGGACTTCTTGGCAAGCCTGGGGGAGGGACATGGTGGGGGGGGGGCTGGTCACGGCAGGTGTGCTGCGGGGACTGGCCTGCCTTCCCCGCCCCTCCAGGCCGGAGGCCAGCTCACTGCCCTGGCCCTGACCCTCCTGCCTTGGGCTCGACCCCTCCATCCTGGCCCTGACCCTGGCCGTGACCCCACATCCTAGTCCCCACCCCCTCCTGTCCTGGCCCTGACCTGGCCCTGACACCCCTGCCCCAGCCCTGACCCTGAAATTGAGAAGGAGTTAAAATTTCCCTGGCTTAGGATGAAACCCTTGACGTGAGAAAGAAAGTAACTACAGTTCTGAACTCATTCTGAGAACAGCAGGAGGACGGCTGACAAGAGAGCAGCTTGCTGACAGCCCCCCACTAAGCGTCTCGAGGGAGCACTGAGAGGCTACAGTGATCAACTGCAAACTTCAGACGTCACAGACTCAACTCCACCGCGTGCGACACACAGAACAGTCGTGCCTGTGCAGAGGACTCTGAGGACTGCAGCCCCCAAGGCCACGTGCTCCCCATCCCCTACCTAAAACCCCACAGATGAACCCTTGCTTGTAGCTTCTCAGGGAGTTTGGGATTACAGCGTGAGCTGCCCGTTTTCCTCGCTCAGCACTTTGCAATAAAATTCCTACTTTCTTCTCCCACATCCAGCGTCAGAGATGGGCTTGCTGCACGAGTGAGCAAACTCGCTGCAGGTTCGGTAACAACCCCCATCCTCGTCCTGACTGCCCCATCCTGGCCCTGACCCCGCCATCCTGACCCTGACCCTCCTGCCCTGGCCCTGACCCCCATCCTGGTCCTGACGCCCCCATCCTGACTCTAACCCCCCCCAATCCTGGCCCTGACCCTCCTCCCATCCTAGCCCTGACCCCCCCATCCTGACCCCCCCATCCTGGCCCTGACCCTCCTCCCATCCTAGCCGTGACCCCTCCATCCTGAACCTTAACCTCACCCTGGCCCGGACCCTCCTGGCCCGGACCCTCCTGCCCCAGCCTCAACCCCCCCCATCCTGGCCCTGACCCACCCCACCCCTGAGCCCACCACCCTAATGCTGATCACATAGCCCTGGGCCCGACCCCTGCTGCCTGCCTGAGCCCAGGCAGCGCCCACTGGAATCCCAGCAGAAAAGAAAGGAGAGCCCACCCTGACCTCAGCCTGCTCCTCTCTGTTTAAGCCACCAAGTTCGGGGGTATTTGCTGTGCAGCCATCTGTCCCCTGCCCCAGGGCCGTGTGGGGAGCAGGGGAGTGCAGGGCGTGAGGGGCAGCCGGGAACCCTGGAGGGTAGGGATGGGGGAGACAGCACAGAGAAGGGGCAGCCTCGGCTCCCCCAGGTCACCCTCTGTACCCTCCGTCCTCGGGGACCAGTGGCTGCCCGGCCCCAGCCCAGATCACTCCGTGGATCGTGGAGCTCACGTCAAACCCCAGGGGCCCAGCTGCTGTGCTGGGCGGGGTGGGGGTTGCACCCTCCTGCGTGTGGCCCCTCACCTCGAAGCCACCTGGGGCTTCCCTTCCTTGCTCCATCTGGTCTTGTCACTCTGTCCTGCATCTGGGACCACCCCTCTCTGAGGTGCCCCCCCCGCAGCGCACAGCAGTGTGGGAGACCCCTCAGCTGCCCCACCATCCTGCCTCCTGGATTCACGTGTTCGGCCTCCATGGGGTGTGGCGGGGCCTGGGACTTGTTCTAAGCAGAACGCGGGAAGGTGACAGGTCACCTCCGAGACCAGGTTACAAAGGCTGGGACTCCGTCCTGCCAGCAGGTCTCCACTGCGTCTTGATGAGTGGAGACGCCTGTGTGGGGAGGAACCGAGGCCTCGGGCCCAAGGCCCCTGAGGACCTGCCTCCTGCCTGCGCCACCAGAGCTCCAGTGGGGCTGGAGATGACCACAGGTGGCCGACACCCCACAGCAGGGCCTGACCCACAGAGACTGCGAGACGATGAACGTGTGTGTTTGTAAGTCGCTACGCTTTGGAGGCGTCACGCAGCAGCCGCTAACCAGTACCAGGTGCCTCTCTGCCTCCCTCGCAGGTGCAGTGTGGATGCGAGACCAGGGCTCCACCTATCCAATGCGCCCTCTTACTGGGAGCCCGTGATGCAGAGGCCAGGCCTGGGAGGAGTGGCCACGGCAGCCATGTCGTGTCCGGGGCCAGGGCTGGCCAGGTCCTAGGCCCAGCGTCGCTCCAGCAGCCTTGGCAGGCGAACTGTCGCATCTGATGTCGGCAGAGCTCTCTGGGCTGCTCTGAGGCCCGGTTTGGCAGTTTTCCTGCCCGTTTCTGGGACGGGCTCTCTGGCTACCATGGCGACTCTGGAGCGCCCACCACCTGCCGACACAGCCGTGCCGGCCCCCGCCCGGCCAGGGGTCCCGACAGAAGAACGCGGAGGTAAAGACGAGCTGATGCGTCCTCGCAGACCCCACGCGTCGCTCGGCCGCCTCCATGTCCTTCCCTGCTCCTGTGGCTCCCCAGCCGTCAGCTCTGTGTCCAGCACTCGAGTGCAGGCCCCTGCCCCGACCTGCTCACCACTGGAGCCCGGTGGGCGCTCAGGGAGGCAGCTCAGGCACCCACGCGGGGTTTCTGCTCCTCCCTTGATGAAGTAGGAGGAAGAACAATGAAGATCCGACTCTTCCTGCTTTGCACCACAGCAGTTTGGCATCTGGAAAATAGTCCTGTGTCTGAAAGAAGCCTGGATGAGCTGGAAAGGCCAGTGGAGGGAGCATGGTGACGGCCTGTGATGGTCAACTCGAGGTGTCAACTCAGCCTGTTTGGTCAAACCTTGGTGTTGCTTTTTAAAAGGCGTTGTTTAGATATGGTGATCAGTTGACTGAGAAAGCAGATCACCCTCCCTAATGTGGTGGGCCTCATCCAATCAGTTGAAGGCCTTCAGAGCTAAGGTTAAGGTTTCCCGGAGAAGAAGAAATTCTCAAGACTGCAGCGTGGAGACCCACCTGAGTTCTTGCCTGTCGGCCGGCAGACTTCAACGTGACGCAGACCTGAACTTCCAGCCTACCGCACCTAGTCTCAGACTTGCCAGCCCCACAATCATATGAACCAGTTCCTGAAAACACCAGCTCCTGTGTGCACACACGCAGGCACACGCACGAGCGCCCGGCTGGCTGACACAGGGAACCTGACCGACACAGGCTGCTGGCAGCAACGGGAGGGCTGTCTCAGGCCCCGAGAGCACGTCCTCTGTCGGAGGTGGCGCTCGTGCCTTAACCCGTGGGAGGGGGTTGGTGCTGGCCAGGACCCGGGGGGTGGGGGGGGGGACGAGGCCTCCAAAGGGGCCCAAGAATGGGAAGCAGCAGGCGCTGCAGGCCGCCTGCCCAGCGTCAGGCTGCTGTGAGCTGTTGTCAGGTTTTCTGAAAAACATAACGATTACGTGACGAGCATGCTGTGAGAGCTTCTGACAACAGCAGAAAGTGGCGACTGAAGGGACATGAACGGTGAGTTAAAGGGTTCCCTAGCCCAGCCCTTTGGGGCTGGCCGCCACACACATGCTGGCCTCGCCCGGCTTCCGCCCTGCGGGTGCTGTGTCCAGTGTCGCTCAGGGCACGAGATGCAGTAACAACTTCTCTGGCTCCGTGGACAGCTGGCCCGGCTGCCTGCGCACAGCTGCCTGCGTGAGGTCACAGCGGCTCTCTAGGCACCCACACCGCACTTCGTGTTCACACTCCCAGACGACAGGACCGAGGCCGCTACGGGGGGCGGGGGGGAGCGGGGGGTGGGGCCTCTAAGGGTCTTTGCCCTAGACACCCTGAGATCCGGGTACGTGCCCACAGGGGAGCCTCTCGGCGTGTGGCGTCTGCGGGGGGATGGGGGCGCCGTTCTGCTTCCTCATCACCTCCCACAACAAGCGGGGGCTTCTTCCTCTTACACAAGGGGAGCCGAGGGTGCTGTCTGCACCTGGCCTTGACCACGGCCACCTTCCGGACGTGCGTCCCACCAGGCCATTCCGTGCCGATCCTCCTCCCTGGCCAGCGCCGGATTTTCCCCTGCAGACCCTCCACCCCTATAAGCCCGAGTCTCCGGCCGCACTCCAGGCTCGGCTCTGCCCTGGGGAAGCCCTGACGGAGGCGGCCTCCTGTGGGCTCCACAGCCAGTCCTTCCCATCTCCCCAGGTCCAGCACGTTGAGAAGTGTGAGCCAGCCTGGCCACCAAGGCTGAGGACTAGGACTCTCAGCAGCTGTGGACTGTCACTTTGAGGCACGGCCATGCTGCCCACCCCTTGCTTCCAGCCCGCCCTGGGCTCCCTATCCCTGCTGTGGCTTCTGAGCACAGCTGGGAAGGGCCACGTTTTCCTCCCAAGTGGCTCCCTCACCCCCCTGGGCCCTGCTCCCGACCGGCGTCTGAAGTGGAGAGACTCAGAGATGTGAGCACTGGGAAGGAGGCCGAGGTAGGAGGTGGGGAGAGGGGACAGCGGATGGCCACAGGGAAAAGAGGAGGACTGGAGGAGCTGGGGCACTCGGCCCTGAAGCCCTCACTGCATCCCCTGGGCTGCCACATGGAGGGTCCACCGCGGGCCTCCCACACCACGGGCCACCCCCACCGCGGGCGTCCCCCACGCACTGGGTGTCCGGGCACCAGAGGGGAGGCTGGCTCGACCTCGGGCAGGGCCACTTACTCTGGGGACGACTCCGGGGTCAGGTTGGACATCTCCTCTGGCGTCGGAACTGCGCACACAGGACGAGGAGAGAAACATGGTGACTGTGCGGCCCTCCCCCAGCAGGGCTGCCACCTGCCCGCTGTGACGGCGCCCGAGGGCACAGGTCCACCACCAGCTCCAGGCCACCAGGAGCTATCCTGACCCCCAGTGCTGAAATCAGGCCACCCCTTCTCTGGCCTCCAGCCAGCCGTGCCGTCCCCTACAGATGGCACTGGCCCCCATGTGCCGCCTGTCGGCCATGCTGTGCGACTGGTGGGCCCAGGCAGCGGGCAGTGCCGAGTGACCCTCGGCACCCAGCATGCAGGGGTCGGCTGCCCCCCGCCACCCTGGCCCCGTGGCTTCCTGACCACCCACACCCACCCAGCAGCCGGCTCTCCTCCCCAAGGAGGCCACTGGGCTGAGGAACAGCAAAGGAGCCAAGAGGGGCCAGGGCCGCATCTGTGGGGCAGCTCTGAGCGGGCCCCTGACATGCACAGTAGGCAGGCTCGGGAACACGTGGATGTCTGGCGGCGCTGCCCGGGCCTGTGCTGGCCAAGTGGACACGGGCCGCTGCCCAGTGCTTTTGGCAGGATGAACCACCAAACGGGGAGGGGCAGCCAGGGCTCCCCTGCGGCCCCCTTTCCCCAAGCACCCTGCCGCGTCCGCCAAGCGCACCTTGCAGTTTCCGGCGGTGGAAACGGGGTGACCCCAGGAAGCTGTTCTTGATGGAGTTGAGCCGCGTCCGCCAGGGAACCCCTCCAACGCTGGGGCTGGACGGCGGCGTGGGGTTGGGCGTGCCGGCCGGGCTCTCCTTGGGCGTGTGCACGGGCGTCCCCTTGGGGGTGGGGAGGGGACTGCCCCTTGGAGAGGGGTGAGGGGTCACCTGTATGGTGGGGACAGATTTGGTGTTTGGTTCAGTCCCGGCGGGCGGGAGATGGGGGGGTGCCGGCAGGGTTGGCGAGGCAGGGGGCAGGGCCAGCTGGGGGCCAAGGCCCCCCGGGGCAGGGCCCCGGGCCTGGGTGCCGGCTGGGAGTGGGTTGGACTTGGTGCCCTGCAGCGGCCTGTCGGTCAGCTTGGCCTTGCTCGGCAAGGTCTGGGTCTTGGGGTTGGGCCGCAGGGCGGGCTGTGCAGGGAGGACGTGTCCGGGCCGCGAGGCGCTCCGACAAGCTTCGGGCTCCACGGAGGTGGCTGAGGGGCAGGCCACGAAGGGGAGCTTGGGGGGCGGGGGGGGCAGGACAAACTTTCTAACAGGCTACAGGGCAGGCGCAGGGCAGGGAGGAGAGCAAGGGGTTACAGAGACCGAGAGGGCCAAGCGCCACCGTGCATGCCCCGCCCCGCCCCGCCCCGCATGCACACAGCACCAGGAGGACCAGAGAGAGGCCGGGACCCAGGCAGGGGCAAGGGGGCAGGCAGGCGTGGGGGGTGTTTGCCACGAAAAAAAACGAATGACACACGAGAAGACAGACAGACAAAACAAAAACGTGCAGTTAGCGAGCGCAGCAGCAGCCGCGCGGCGGCTCCAGTGCAGGCGGGGACCAAGTGAGGCGGGGCCTGCTTCCGGCCCGCGAGCCTCCCCCCACCCGGTGCCTGCCGGCTGCCGAGGCGCGGGCACCTTTGTTTGGGAGCCGGTGGTGGGGCGGGTGGGTCACTCACCCGGGGGCTGCTGAGCGGGCTGGTGGAGAGGCCTGAGGAGGCGCCACTGATGGACCTAGACCTGGGGACACAGGTGCAGCGGTGGGTCAGCCCGGGAAAGGGGCGCAGGCTCTCGGCCCCTCTCTCCCCTGTGGGGGACCCTCCAAGAGGCTGGAGCCCCAGGCTGGTGCCCGCCCGGCCACGCCCAGGGCTGTCCCGCTGTCCCCACCCGCCTCTCACCAGGCCCAGGAGAGCCTGCAGCCCCTCTAAGGCCCTGTCAGAGCCCCAGGGCTGTGGCCGGTGGCCTTGGAGCTCCTCCTCCACGCAGCGTGTGAGCTGCCCTGTGTCCGAGGCCCCAGACCAAGGCCAGCACAGAGGAGCCCTCAGCAAGGGTCCATCTGGGGCTGGGGTGGACTGAGGGACGAGGGGACACGGGGCTTCCTGTGAAATGAATCCAGCCCCTGTGCTGGGTCCATACCATGTCCTGGCTGCCCTGAGCCCGGCCTGACCCCCAGGGCTGAGTTCACCCCAGCCCTCACATCCTGGCGTGCTGGCCACCAGCTGGACACCGGCCCAGCTCCTCCACGCCCACAGCCCACCTGCCCAGCCCAGAGCTGCCCACAGGAGGCCAGCCCACGGCCTGGTCCTCACTCACACCAGGAGGGCCTGGGCAAGACGAGGCTGGGGTGGGCGCTGGTGGGGACTGTGGGCCTTGTCCACCACTGGCCCATGTGGCCCGAAGACCTGGCTGGGGTATGGCCAAAGAGAGGCACTGGCCCAGTGTGCCCGGCTGAGACACACACGTAGACGTCGCCCCTGCCAGGCAGGAACCAGGCACCTGGGGGCCTCTCACCACCACACCACTCAGCCCGTGGGGCAGGAACCGGGCACCCGCGGGCCTCTCCCCTGCCACCGCCTGGCCTACGAAGTGGGAACCAGTCACCCGTGGGCCTCTGCCCACCACACTGCTCAGCCCGTGGGGCGGGAACCAGGCACTTGGGGGCCTCTCCCCCCCAAACCGCTCAGCCCGTAAGGCAGGAACCAGGCACCCACAGGCACGGCCCGAGGGGAAGCAACGCCCTCTCACCCCTGGGCACCGGCACCCACGGTCTCTAGAGGGGGAAACGCGAGGGGGAGCGAGGCAGCCACAGGAGATGGGAGGGCCACAAGAGAGCAAGTGACTGTCCGTGCGGACCGCCCGGCCTCAGGAGGGGTCTCACCCACCCACACGGTGGCCTGGCCCCTGTGCCTCGGGAAGGAGCTGAGCCCAGGCCGGCACCTGTGGGTTGGGACCCTGTGGCCATCGGTGTCAACCTCTTGACCTGACAGCCACGGAGCCGGGGACAGCACCACCTGCTCCCAGCCCCCCAGCCCACGGCCAGGACAGCACCCAGAGCCAGGCCAGGGCCCAAAGCTTTCAGATGCTATGAAGGGAGCTAGGGGCTGGTCGGTCCCAGCTGGTGCCCGCCCCAGCAGCCACAGGCCAACAGGGGCAGCAGCCATGAGCAAGGCCTCCCACTGAGTCAGCCACGAGCTTGTCGCTTGGCACAAAGAAAGGAGAAGGGCCACAGCAGGAGGAAGAGCGGGTGGGAGACGTGTCCGCACCCATCTAACCAGAAGGCCCCCGGAAACTAGGCTGCAACTGCCCAGGACAGGAAGGACGGCGCCAGCATCCAGAACAGGCGGGGCCAGGCAGGGAGACAGGGGCGAAGCCTGACCACTGCCACCCGCGGGCAGCAGACCCTGCAGGTGCAGGGCGGGGGACTGGGGAAGGCTGGCCTGGCACAGAGACCTCAGGACCATCCCACCTCCTGCTGCCTCCTGGGGAGCCTGCAGCCTGCAGGACTGGGGACGGCCAAGCCACCCTGGCTGCCGTGTGCACTCAGGCCCTGTGGGCTGCAGGACGGCCCCAGGACCCAGGGGCCATGCGGGACGGCAGGCGGGGGGGTGGTAAACCAGGGCCACGGAGGCCCACGGGCCACAGGGCGAGGGCAGGCCAGAAGGGCCTCACGGCCTGCAGCCACCAGGGGTCCCAGGGCCAGGAGAGCGCTGTGGGTCTCCTTGCCTCTCGCGGGCTGGCCCTCGGCCTCGCCCCAGCAGCCCACTCCTGCTGGGCTCTGCCTAGCCTGGCCGGGCCCTTCCCTGGCCTCAGGCCCAGCCCTGCCGCCAGGCCTGCTGTGGCCGTTGGGGCGGGGGCGGGGGTGGGTGGGCAGAGTGTATACCTGTCTTCTTTGCTGAATTGGGGGTGGGCTTCAGCGATATCCAGGCTTTTACTGAACATTGCTTTACTACAGCGGGAACAAAGCGAGAAAAGAGAGTTACTGACGCAGCCCCGCTGGCGGCCCAGCAGGCCTGACCTCCACACGGCTCCGGGCTGGGCGCGGGCACCCAGCCCCCCGCCAGGGCACACCGATGCCAGGGGAAGTCAAGCAGGAGAGCACTGGGGCCACAGCACACCCTGCCCTGGTGATCTGCTGGGCAGGGCGGCTGGCCAGGCCCTAGAGGATGCCCAGGAGGTGGCCCGTTGTGGCCCAGTGCCAGTAGCCAAGCCAGGAGAGGCAGCAGAGCCAGGGAGCAGCAGTGGGGGAGCCGAGAGGAAGGGGCTTTCAGCCATTGGGATGGTCTGTACCCCAACCCAGCACCCCTGCTCCCGAGGCAACAGGGCCTGGAAGGCAGAGCAGAAGCCACGGCAGGGGGGCTCCCATGCCAGGCCTGCCCCTGCCCCAGGCGGATGGGGTGGGAAGGCTGCGGGGCCGCTGGTCCAGGGAGGCCGGGTCAGCACTCAGCCTTCCCTGTGGGTTCCAAGGCTCAGGAAGGCGGGCTGGGCCGCTGGAGGGGCCACACTTCCCTGGGGGCCTGCAGGGGGTGTGCCCACAACAAGCGGGACACAAGGCCTCCTGCTGCCCCCTCGCCAGCCCAGTGCGGGAGCCGGGCAGTGGCCACGCTGTCTGGAGACCCGAAAGGAGGCCCTGGAGGGCCGGGACCCCAGGTCGGAGGCCGAGCCAGCCCTGTTCCCTGGGGAGGGCCTGGGACCACCCAGGGGCTATAGACCACCTGCCCACTTTCGTCCTGATGGTGGCCCAGCTGCCCTGTGGTTCTTGTTTTCTGGCAAATTCCTCAGGAGGCCTGGCCGGCCCCAGCACCCAGCACCAGCTGACCAGGGGTGGCCCAGGCTGCTGGGACCTCCCACAGTGCTCCCGGGCCCCAGGGCTGTGTCCAGACAGCTGAAGCCCCCACTGGGCAGGAACGCCGGGCCTCGCCCCCAACAGGCCACACTCAGCACCAGACTGAAGATCTGCCAGAGCTGAGGCTCTGCAGGACCCAGACCACTTTCTTCCTCCAAGGGGTCTGCGGGACAGCCAGACCTGCTCATCGCCCCCCACTTCCACGTCCCTGCCCAACACTGCCTGCAACAGGTGACTAAAGGTTGGGCCAGGGTCGACTGGGGACAGGACAGGACAGGACAGGACAGCCCAGCCCAGCCCAGCTCAGTCCAGCCCAGCCCAGTCCAGCCAAGCCCAGCCCAGTCCAGCTCAGCTCAGTGCAGACCAGTCCAGTCCAGCCCAGTCCCGTCTAGTCCAGCCCAGCCCAGCCCAGCCCAATCTAGTCCAGCTCAGCCCAGTTTAATCCAGCTCAGCCCAGTCCAGTCCAGCCCAGCCCCATCCAGCCCAGCTCAGGCCAGCTCAGTCCAGTTTAGTCCAGCTCAGCCCAGTCTAGTCCAGCTCAGCTTAGTCCAGTCCAGTCCATTTCAGCTCAGCCCAGCTCAGTCCAGTCCAGCCCAGTCCCGTCTAGTCCAGCCCAGCCCAGCCCAATCTAGTCCAGCTCAGCCCAGTCCACTCCAGCCCAGCCCCATTCAGCCCAGCTCAGGCCAGCTCAGCCCAGTCTAGTCCAGCTCAGCTTAGTCCAGCCCAGTCTAGTCCAGTCCAGTCCATTTCAGCTCAGCCCAGCTCAGTCCAGTCTAGTGCAGCTCAGCTTAGTCCACTTCAGCCTAGTCCAGCCCAGTCCAGTGCAGTCCAACTCAGTTCAGTCCATTTCAGCTCAGCCCAGTCCAGCCCAGCCTAGCTCGCCCAGTCCAGCCCAGTCCAGCCCAGCCAGCTCAGCCAGTGCAGCGGAAGCAGCCCAGCCCTCAGCACAGCACAGTCCACCCCACCCAGTGGTCTCGGCGCAGCCCAGGGCCAGGGAGCAGAAATGCGCCAGGCCGGGCCCAGACTGCCTGTGAGGGTGCGACGCTGACCAGGCCAGGGCGCAGGAGCCGGGGCGCAGGGTCCTCCGGCGGGCACGCACCTCTGGCCGTGCTGAGCCATCTCGATGGCCCTCCGCGCGGGCACCGGGGAGCCGCCGTCCGTCACGCTGAGCACCTCCATGGACTTACGCTCGGGCCGTCGCTTGCCGTGCCGGTTCAGCATCGGGGAGTCCACGCGCTTCCGGGGAGGGTCTGCGTGCAGACGGGGGTCAGGGCCGGGCAGCCCGTGGGGCCAGAGCGGAGCGCGTGGCCGGGCCCCCAAGGCCGTACCTATTTCGTTCCGGGGGGGCAGGTCCTCGTCCTCGTGGCTCGGGTACCGCTCCTTCCGGTCCAGGAGGAGGAAGTAGATCATCTTCTCCTGGTTCTCCCTGCAGCGGGCGACAGGCGCACACGGGCGCGTCCGCTCCTGGGCGGCAGTCCCGGGCCACCCCGTGTTCCCCCACGGCCCCCACTCCCCACCGCCTCCGCCGCCTGCCCGGGGGCGCCCCGCTGGACGCACTCCTCAGACAGCAGGTCCTGCAGCAGCTTGTTGCGGTCGCGGAAGCAGCCCAGCGAGTGCATGCTGTCCAGCACGTCGGGGTCGATGTCCTCCAGGCTGGGCAGCGAGCGGATCTGCACCTTGCGGGGGATGGGCTGCTCTGGCTCCGGCTCATTCTTGCCCCCTCTGTGGACCACAGGGCAGCTGTCACTCCCCTCGGCCGGCCGGCGGGGTGCTCCACCCCCACCCTGAGGCAGCCAGAGGGCAGGAGGCCCACCCCTTCCTGGGGACCCTGAGTCCTGCGCCCCGCCTGTGCCCGGCCCCTGCACACCTCCTGCGCCCTGCCTGTGTCTGGCCCCTGCACGCCTCCTGCACCCCGCTTGTGCCCAGCACAGGCTGGCCCAGGGTCCCTGAGCGCTGGCCGGCCAGGCGGCCCAAGGCTGGGGCAGGCCTGCGCTGGATTCTCCCTTCGCCTTCCCTAGCAGGCCCTTGGGGCCACAGCCACAGGCAAAGCAGGTGGTGAGGGGGAGGAGAAGCTACTTACATATACCATGTGTGTTTCTGAATGTGCTCTAGCTACGAGGAAAGAGAAACAGGGAGTTAGTAGGAGGAAGAAGAGAGCCCACATTAGAAGGCCAGAGGGAGCAGGAGGGGGAGGCATGGGGAGGAGAAGGGAACAGGAGCTGGAAAGAGGGGAGGGGGAGAGGGTGGAGAAGAGGACTGAGATGGAGGGAGGACAGGAGAGGGGGAGAGGGAGGGGGAGAGTGGGG